TACGGAGGCGCGGGGCAGAGATGCGTTACAGCCTCTCACACAGGTCTCGCCGCTGCCGGCAGTTTCTTCTCTTTGCATTGCCTTGCGCTGGTGGTCGTGGGAGAGGGATCATCCCAGTCGTCTCCAGTCACTAAAGGGGTTTTTTGCTGCATTTTAATGACGCTTACACTGTTTTCCAAACTATATATTTATATGTATTTTTCTTCCTCTAGGTGTCTTTTGAGAACCCACTTGATCCAGTATGGCTTTGATTAGCCGAAAAAGTTTCCAGTTTTATTCATCCAGCACACCAGCAAGCAGGTCCATTTTGATGACCCTAAGCAAAAGGTTGAGCTTTATCAGCGGGCAGCAAAAGCCCCAAAACTGTAGCTCCATAGCCATGAGGATGCTATGTTTCAAAGATAAGTCTCAGTATATGTTTTGTAGAAAAAACCACGTAAAACTGCGGATACAGTCTCTTTCTGTTAATGAAACTGTGCATCTTTGTGGAGATACTGGGAGCAGTCCTAAATCTGATAAGGGGTGGATGGATGAACAACTGTTTTTCAAGAAGTTGAACAGCCTTTGTACATCGGCAGAGGTTTTTGACTTTGTTAGCTCTCTGGAAGTCATGTCTGATACTATGGCATCAGGAGCCCTGCAGAGGATTTCTGAAGTTGAGGTGGATGACAGTGGTCTGAAAAACCCTGAAGGAGTGTTAGAGAATGAAGTTTTCAGGGCATTATGCTTCCAGTTTGAGTTTAAATCCTCAAAACTGTCAAACTCTGGGCTGCTGAATGCATTGCAAGCATTGATCAAACTACGTATAGATCCCCAGAGTACACTGATGGCAAGCTTGCTTTCAGAGGGTGAGGAACGGCTTGGTAAAGGACAGTTGACTGTTAAAAATCTATGTGCTCTTGGAGAGAGTTTGCTTGAGTTGGAAGGCCCAAGTTGTGCGACTCTGGAACAAATTGTGAACCACATGCAAGAAAAAGACATTGAGAAGTGGAGTCCTAGGGAAATGGTGATGGTTTATAAGATGCTGCAGGTGACTGTCAGGGAAGGGGAACAATGCCAAGACTTGCTAAACAGAATGAACAGTGTCACTTTAACCATAGTTTCCCAGCTAAGCCCAAAGTTCACAAGCATAATACTGAACTCACTGGTTGTTCTTCGTCAGACTCGGGCGGTTCCCTTAGTGACAGCACTGTGTAAGCATTCTGTGAAGCACATTCCGTATTTCACAGGTGATGAACTGGTAAATATACTGGAAGCCTTCCTATACTTTGGACATCGTGAACAAATTTTTACAGAGGCACTGGAAACACATGTTCCCAAGTCCATCTTTACCATGCATCCTCAAACAGTCAGCAAAGTCATGCAGTATTGCTGCCGAAAGATGATCCTTTCTAAGCCCATCTTTGATGCAGTGGCAGAAGGTTTCATTTCCGATGCTGACAGGTTTACCACTGACCAGATTGCTGAGTATATTATACCATTTGGGACTCTTAACTATCTCCCTCCAAGTGCTTCTTCCTTGTTTAGGAAGCTTGAAACCGTACTGCATACTCGCTTTAGTCACTTTAAGCCTCACACCCTGCTGAACCTGCTGCACTCATGTGTCCTTATTCAACATTATCCAGTAAATTTTCTGCCAAAAATATTTAGTCCCTATTTTCTGCAACAGCTTCAAGGTAAGGAGCAGTGTTTCTCTTGCTACGTTCCGCATTTCCTTCTATTACATGGTGTGTCTCTTGTGAAGAACCCATTTGTTACCAAGTACGTCTTTCAAATCAACGATGACCTGATTAAGGTGACTGGAGAACAGTGATCAGGAGGCCGAAGATTGTTGCTTTCTTGTCACAGTTGCAGTTGTCTTTCAGTTTATATCATTTAGAGGAGTTTGAAAATTGCCCTGTACAATCTTAAACAGAGATTTGAAATGCCTTCAGAGTTTTATTTCAGTTAATCCTTCTGCTTTTCTAAAAAATACTGACCCTCTGTTTTTTCCCAGCTGTTTAAACTTCTTTGCCTATGCAGTGACCGATGTGAATACTCACTCTGAAGTGAGGCTATGTTACTATGAGACTGGTAACACTAGGAAGGCTAGTGAGACTAGTTATTATGGAACTAACAAGACTGAGACCAAAAGTGACCAAGTATCATTTTAATGACAATGATACTTGGAATGATGTATGAGTGATGTAAAATATAGTTTAGTGATTCTGGGTTCATTTTTCTCTAAATTGTTGCCACATGAGGGATGCGGCTTAAAGGTGGAACAGTGAGTCCTGAGACTTGACTTTTATTCTGGGTGTAGCCGCCCGTTTGCTTTGCGGCTTTGGGAAGTCACTTCACTTTTCTGTGTCTTTTTCTTCCCCCACAATTGTTTGCTTTGCTTACTTGGATCTCAAACTCCTTAGGGTTGGGAGTGGCTCTTAGGCATTTTACTCGGGGACTAGCCCAGGGGAGGATGTATTTAAAAAAACAATAGAAATACTAGTAGTACTGATTGTGAAGCTAAAATAATTACCTTCTGGTTGTGCACTGCTGGTTAGATTTAAGATTTCGCTGCCTGTCTTTAAAGTTAAATCCTCTGTGACTGTGCATAATCCTTATTTCTGGGTGTCTTCCTAAACACCCAAAGCACTCTCTTCCTGAGTCTCTAAGGGCAAGGTACACAATCACAGTTGTCAGAAAACCTGTTCATAGCCTTTAAAGTTGGGACCAAATTATAATATGCAAGAAAAATTACAATAACTGTTCCACAGCTTACTTACAATCGTGTTACTAGCAAGCTCACCTATTACTAGAGAAATAGTTCATTGTTATATTTAAAAAAAACAGTCTAAAAATCCTTATAAACTTTGGACAAGATTAGTACAAATTCTAGTGAGAAGTGAGGTGAAGTGTAGCATTGGGACAAAAAGAATTTAAATTACTATTATTGATAAGGATGTGTTACAATTACATACACAGAATTTGTAAATCTTGGGCAGTACAAAATGTGTTTTTTTAAATACTGTTTTGCCTTATGATTCAAATAAGGTCCATTGCACGTAAGTGATTCTAGTGCTTTATTCCTTACCTTCTGTCAGGCTGCGTCGTGTCCAGCTTATCAGGTGGGGGTAAGGTAGAACCAGGTATGGACTTCTGCTGTCATCTCTACTCTTCTGTTCTTTCAGGATAGGGATTATTGTATTATATTCTTGCTTTTAACTTGGTTGTATTTCTCTTTCATATTGTATTATGATCAGCTTGTGAAAGCTGAAAAGGGTAAATGGATAAAGCTGAAAAAATTAATTTGCAGTGCATAATTGTTGGCTTCATTAAAATAGAAGTGAGATCTGAACCAGTGACATGTAACAGCATCATAAATGTAAGCAGTTAAGGATAGGCTGGTATGTTTTT